GTGGTTACACAAAAAGGGATTCCAAGTGATTTAAGTTGTACCCAGCTTCCTTAGCAACAACGGCAGTGGGATATTGTCATATATAGAAGCAAGAGAAATTCCGGCTTCTATGTGTGATATTTGGCTCTTGCCAAACAGGGTGCTGAAAGGGCAACATTTCAGCTGTTCATTCAAAGGCCTGAACAACCAAAGTTTGGTTTGAACCTAGGTTCCGACAGAACAGCCCATTTGTAATCAAAATGCTCTCACAAAAAAATTCTTTAATACATGGGCCCCATACATGATACAATACTTTAACACCAGCTAGAGATGTATATGATGGAAAAAATTGTTTCAATTTGTATTCTTTTGTTAAGTTAACAATTTCTTCATATTCATTATGTTAAAAAGATTAATTTGTTTCGTATATTCGGATTAGTTTCCTATATATTTGTTATTTTCAAATCGATTAAAATAAATCTAAATTTCTAATTTCAAATTCGAATTTCAAATTTTGGAAGATGGCTATATCTGTTCTGTTCTATTCTAATTTTTTCTATTCTATTCTTTTCTATTCTATTCTAACCTTTCCTACTCTATCTTGTTTTTTTGCTATTCCATTATATTCTTTTATTTTGTTTTATTCTCTATTCTAGCCTATTCTGTACTAGTCCATTCTGTTTTATTCTGTTCTTTATTTTCTATTCTATTCTGTTTTATTCTAGTCTATTATTTCATTTTCTATTTTATTCTTTTCTATTCTGTTCTATAAAGCAGCCTAAGCAGCAATCCTTATATTTCAATTTTATATCTTACTGTATTTATTGCAATATGTTACCATTTTTTATTCAAATTCATTTTCAAAGGCAAATTCATTTTTGAATTCAAATTAATTTCCTAATTCAAATGTATTTTCGAATTTGAATTGGATAGTTTGTTTTGTTATAATCTACTTTGAACTCGTTGAAATTTGTTACCATCATGATTCGGAAATTCAGATACATTCAAATAGCAAAAATTTCATCTGAATTTTGATTTGTAACAAAACTAATTGCACATGTCTAACACCAGCACAACTCAAATACATTTTAACACTATTTAGATACTCTTCTTGCTACAAAACTGAAAAATTTAAAGGAATGTTAGGAGCTCTAGAATTCTAAAATGTCCACCCACCTCCATCTTGGTGAGCAAGCACCTTACTTAATCTTAGAGACCTTGAACACACTGGGGGTTATTTACTAAACCTGCATGGTGCAAAATCGTGTGCAGCTCTGCATAGAAACCAGACTCCAGGTTTTATTGTCAAAGCCTAATCAAACAAGCTGAAGTTAGAAGCTGATTGGCTACCATGTATAGCTGCACCAGATTCTGAGTGCACCAGTTTTAGTAAATCACCCCCACTGCTCCATCCTTAATACCAAGGCGAATGGCTACTGTTGGTTTTGTTAAGATCAATTCTTTAAATACTAAATACAAAGTACCATCATTTTCAGATTCTAGCTCAGAACCTATAACTGCAGTTATTTTTCATTATTATTTGCACTTGTATTTGTACTAAGTTTTAAGGTACTAATGCAGTATCAGTTGTACATGTTATACTGTCTTACTATTCATCAATGACTATTAATAGGGGTAATTCCCTCTTTCCTTTGTCACTCCACAAATGAGTCCATCATAGAAACCTGTTATATCCTACTTATATCTTGTTTTCTCCATAAATCAATTGTTATCCTTGCCTCAAAGCTATATGTCTGTATTACTACTGTATGTACAAAACTTCACTAAATGGAGTAAACAGAAAGTAAGGATATGCCCTTCTGTACACAATGTCAGAATTGATAGATCAGCACGGAATGGAACGTAGGTTCCTGTCTCGGTGGTATGGAGCTCTAGCTAGGTTGTCCCTAATATACCCAACAGTTTCAAAAGAATGCTGGCAGGAGCAGGGCTGTAGATAAGGGGGTACCACAGGTCCTCCTGTACGTAACCCAGACCAGTTGGGTGAACCAGATGTGGGCAGGGAGGGTGATCGGCACAAGAAGGGGGAGCAGGGGCAATTACTGGAACTGATTCCCTGTATGGCTCTCTGTTCAGCACCCTCCCAATGCACCATACATTTCCCCATGCTGCCCAAGCCCCCCTGTGTGCCCCCCAACCTGCGCAGTTCTGCCAGGTTCCCTTTCTTTCCCACTGGCAGCAGCAAGCACATAATAGGATCCTTAGGATGGAGAGTGGGAAAGGGTCCATAAAAATGTCACATTTACCAGCCCCTTCCTTTCCTGAGTGAACACACTGGTGATCGGTAGCAATTACTAACTGTGTTCAGTCACAACCGAAGCATAGTATACTGTGTTTATTTGGGGGCCCTTTTACATTGGCTGTACGGGCCCTGTGGTTTCTAACAGCAGCCCTGGGCAGGAGTGTGGCCAGCAAGGTACCTTTTTTCTTTGCGGTACACTGACACTGATGGCACTTTCTCACACCATCCCTTTACATCTGATCTAAGACCGAGACAGCCTATGTCTTTTGGATTGTATTAAAGGTCCTCCTTTTCACACTTGTTGAATTCTGCAAAAAGCTTGATACCATTATGGATAGAGCACTTCCCTAAATTGAGGGAGTGGCTTACTACTGTACAGTTCAGTCTATCATGAAATAGGGTATAAGATCGCTTTGAGTACTTTGACAAATCCTGGGCTTCTTGGATTGATTTTATTTCTTCTAGAAAATATAGGCCAATCATGCCAGTTCCCTCATTGTGGCTTTCTTTGTCAGCTCAAGGGGGTCTTATATGTTTGGGCAACAGGATTTGAGATATGAGATGATAGGCCAAGTGAATCTTTATTTTTCCTTTTCTTTTCTCCTTTTACTTTTATTTTTACACTGTTATTTGTCTCTTCTTTTAGTCTTTTCTTTTTTTCTGAATCCATACATGAGCAGAAATAAGGAATATGTCATTGGTTTTGTCTGTATACCTTTACGTTTTGACTAAGGCAGAATTGTGCTTGGTTCATACTGTAATGGTGGTTCAGTTGCAATGGTGGTTCAGTCGCATGACATGTTTTTAGAATTTTCCTTGTTGCATTTATTAATAAAATACAGATTTCAAAAAACCCTAAAAATATCCCTCAATCTCCATATGAAGAGGGACAGTCTATAATTGGCAATATTAGGGACATGAAGAACTCCTGCAAGATCTGGTTGGGGGACAAATACCTATTGGCAGGAATTCACTTTATTTTGTGTTTTCAGTCTCCCTTTAAACCTTTCCCGACCAGAAGCCATTGGTGCCCAGGCCAAGTGTAACATTGCCAGTATACATTGGTTAACTTGCATATAACTTTGTGACTAATTAGCCTACCTGAAACAATTTCACACAACTACACAGGGGTACACAAAATCACATATACAGTGGGGATTGAACGTTTGGGCACCCCAGCTAAAAATTTGTATTAATGTGCATAAAGAAGCCAAGGAAAGATGGAAAAATCTCCAAAAGGCATCAAATTACAGATTAGACATTCTTATAATATGTCAACAAAAGTTAGATTTTATTTCCATCATTTACACTTTCAAAATAACAGAAAACAAAAAAATGTCATCTGCAAAAGTTTGGGCACCCTGCAGAATTTATAGCATGCACTGCCCCCTTTGCAAAGCTGAGACCTGCCAGTGTCATGGATTGTTCTCAATCATCATCTGGGAAGACCAGGTGATGTCAATCTCAAAGGTTTTAAATGCCCAGACTCATCTGACCTTGCCCCAACAATCAGCACCATGGGTTCTTCTAAGCAGTTGTCTAGAAAACTAAAACTGAAAATAGTTGACGCTCACAAAGCTGGAGAAGGCTATAAGAAGATAGCAAAGCGTTTTCAGATGTCAATATCCTTGTTCGGAATGTAATTAAGAAATGGCAGTCATCAGGAACAGTGGAAGTTAAAGCAAGATCTGGAAGACCAAGAAAAATATCAGACAGAACAGCTCGCAGGATTGTGAGAAAAACAATTCAAAACCCACGTTTGACTGCACGATCCCTCCAGAAAGATCTGGCAGACACTGGAGTTGTGGTACACTATTCCACTATAAAGAGATACTTGTACAAATATGGTCTTCATGGAAGAGTCATCAGAAGAAAACCTTTTCTACGTCCTCACCACAAAAATCATCGTTTGAACTTTGCAAATGAACATATAGACAAGCCTGATGCATTTTGGAAACAAGTTCTGTGGACCGATGAGGTTAAAATTGAACTTTTTGGCCGGAATGAGCAAAAGTACGTTTGGAGAAGAAGGGGCACAAAATTTAATGAAAAGAACCTCTGTCCAACTGTTAAGCATGGGGTTGGATCAATCATGCTTTGGGGTTGTGTTGCAGCCAGTGGCACAGGGAACATCTCACGAGTAGAAGGAAAAATGGATTAATAAAATTTCAGCAAATTTTGGATGGTAACTTGATGCCATCTGTGAAAAAGCTGAAGTTAAAGAGAGGATGGCTTCTACAAATGTATAATGATCCTAAACACACCTCGAAATCCATGGTGGATTACATCAAGAGGCGTAAACTGAAGGTTTTGCCATGGCCTTCACAATCTCCTGACCTCAACATAATTGAAAATCTATAGATAGACCTTAAAAGAGCAGTGCGTGACAGACAGCCCAGAAATCTCAAAGAACTGGAAGACTTTTGTAAGGAAGAATGGGCAAAGATACCTCAAACAAGAATTGAAAGACTCTACAAAAAGCGTTTACAAGCTGTGATACTTGCCAAAGGGGGCAGTACAAGATATTAACTCTGCATGGTGCCCAAACTTTTGCAGACGCCATTTTTTTTTGTTTTCTGTTATTTTGAAGTGTAAATGATGGAAATAAAATCTAACTTTTGTTGACATATTATAAGAATGTCTAATCTGTAATTTGATGCCTTTTGGAGATTTTTCCATCTTTCCTTGGCTTCTTTATGCACATTAATACAAATTTTTAGCTGGGGTGCCCAAACTTTCGATCCCCACTGTATATATGTGATTTTGCATTTCCGGGAAGGGGGTGCGTGCAAGCCCTACCTGCACCGCCATTCGCAGCCGCGGCTGTCAATTATCGGGTCCTGGCTGGTGATTACTCTCAGTCACCCAGTGATCGCCGAGTATCTCTGACGGGGAAGAGACTGAATGTAAACAATACAGATCACTCCCCTGTCAACTCCTGCACACTGCTTTGAATGGCTCTGCATAGCAGGGCCATCCAAAGCAGTATGCTTACAGTGATGCACACACACAGCACATAATGTGAAACAGCACACAGTTAACCCTTTCATTGCCCCAGATGTTAATCCCTTCCTGCCCAGTGCCATTAGTACAGTGTCAGTGCTTTTTATTAGCACTGATCACTGTATTGGTGTCACTGGGGATGTCTTTGGCACCAAGTCAGTTCCCCCCAGTGTCAGAATGCCTGCCACAGTAGCGCAGTCCCGCTATAAGTCGCTGATCACCGCCATTACTAGTAAAAAATAAATTGAAAAAAAAAATCCAGTATATATACCACCATTTGTAAATGCTATAACTTTCATGTAAACCAATTAATTTACACGCATTTGAATTTTTTTTAGCAAAGACATGTAGCAGAATACATTTTGGCCTAAATTTATGATGAAATTTGATTTTTTAAAAAATTTTTATTGGACAAGTTTAATAGCAAAAAGTCAAAAATATTGTTTTTTTTCTCAAAATAGTTTTTTTTTGTTTGTTTATAGTGCAAAAAATAAAAACCGCACATGTGATCAAATACCACTGAAAGAAAGCTCTATTTGTGGGAAAAAAAGGATGTAAATTTCATTTGGGTGCAGCACTGGATGGCTGTGCAATTGTCAGTTAAAGTAATGCAGAGCTGTAAGGCAAACAATGGCCTGTTCAGGAAGGGGGGGTAAATCCTCTGGAGGGCAAGTGGTTAATGGATACTTGGTTTACTGTTTTAATAAATGCAGCTTGTTTATTATAGGCTGACAAATGGACAAAAATGTGAAAAAGACTATTTACACTTATCATTTTATAATATTTTTTAAACTTGAATTCATTTCATTTTAACAAGGCACAATGACCGTTTGTCCACCCGGTACCGCTGTGCTTGTAAACAAAGCCATGTGATCAATGTTATGTGTTATCACATGATGGAAAACCATGTTGGTAAAATCTTTTTCTTGAAAAAAATATGGTCAATTTTAAAGTGGTTTTAAAGACTCAACTTTTTTAAACAATATGTAAACTCAACATTTCATATTGCTGACATGTGCCTGTTGTAAAATGTACTTGTATGAAAAAGCATCCTGTTCTCTTTGTATTGCTTCTTTTGTGTGAAATCCCTGGTGTTCCTGCCAGTCCCTCTGCTGTCCTATTAAAAACTGACCACACTAGGCAGGAGAGCACACCGTGGTCAGTTCTCTAGCTATGCTGAACCTGTTCTTCTCCAATGATCAGACCTCTGCTCACACCCCTCTGCTGTTTCTCCTCCCCCAGCTCTTATGCAGCTGAGAACAGAGGGAATCTGATCATGCATAAAAACAACAGAAAAAAGGTATTTGTTTTCTATCTCTATACACAGAGGTTTTGCCTTTCTTTTCTATTGTAAACTGAATGGGTCGTTCTACAAGGTGAAGGTTCACAATCACTTTAATGCAATCTCTGCAAAGTAAAAAATTTCCCAGTAATTGTATTGTTCCCATATATATACCCCTCTTATATTTACCTGAGTCCTATCTTGATCCAGTGTTGTGTCCATGTGCAGTGGCTCTCTCCTCTCTCTTTGCTCACAGAGGCAGCAGTAAGAGCCACTGGCACCTACTGCTGTCCATCAAATCCTGTGAGCAGAGAGCGGAGGGTAGGGTTGAGTCCTGCTGTGTGTGTTAATAGATGCACACAGCCCAGTTTGGGATTGAGTCCGCAGATGCACCCCCAGAGGAGCGACTTCTTATAGTGGCACACTGAGAAGAGGAAGAGCCTGGAGTGCTGGAAGAGGAGGTTCAGGGCTGCTCTGTGCAGTACTATTGCACAGAGCAGGTAAGTATAAGCAGGTTTGTCATTTTCCAAAAAAAGAAATAGCCTTTACAAACATGTAATGTTGAACTCCAGACAAACAGATATACACACAGATAATATAAATAGGGGGATGTTCTACCTGCCAAAGGATTTGTATTTCTATTTATCCAATCCTGAGATTTACTATGCTATACCACGCAATTCTGACTTGCAGGGCAGGAGACCTAATTTGTCTCTGCTGCAGTTCAGTAACACTTACAGATCGTTTCCTTTTCCCACCCTGTGACTTTTGATAAAAGGAGAAGCAGCTCATCTCTGTCACTCTGTTCTCTCCTTCTATCAGCATAGTCCTTGCACTGTAGAACAATTGATTGGCTTCCTGTGCTGATTCTCCCTTCTCCAGTCTAAACTTTACTCTAGAAGCACTGCAAGAGGCAGTGAAATTCAGATTCGTGTACTGCTTGAATTAACAAAAAGTACAGTTCATGATGTATTAAGAACTACAGAGTCACATTAATTTGTGTAGTTTATATCTACCCAGAGTTCACCTTTTAAAATAACATATAAATGAACAAAGTAATATACTGTACTTTCAAAATGGAAACATATATTTAAAAATAAAAAATAAATATTCTGCCGACAATTTAGAAGCAGTAACAGAAATCCGGCATGACCTTCTTTGTACAACATTAACGATAGATAATACATAGAAAATAAAACAATAACCCATCTGGCAGTAAACTAGTTCATTTGCTTAAGCAAATGTCAGATATTTTATGAGCTGCATGCAACTTCCTTTGTGTACCTTCCCTCTCAAATCAAAAAGAGTTTGAACTCCCTTTGCAAACAAGAGGAAGAGATCACAGCTAGAGCCAGCGGCTACCAACCTAACACCATCCAATAATGCTCCTGGGAAGAAAAAAACAGTAAGACAGTTGGAAACAATTAATTAACATTAAACTTGTCAATGCTGTTTAACATTCATATAGCATACTTCACAGAAGCACCCTCAGTGAGCACAATAGGTTAGGTACTATATATTTTGTGTGAGCAGATGTTAGTTGCTACCAAGGATTTATAAAACAGCTTATGCAGCACTTTACAACATAAAAGCAGACAGTACAATTACAATACAAATGAATACAGGAGGGATCAGAAGGCCCTGCTCATTAGAACTTACAATCTAAGAGGGAGGGTTAATTGATGCAAAAAGTAATAACTATTGGGGATGGGCTGATGGAGAAAATACATGTACAGTTGCTAGCTGGGGCAGCATAGGCCTCTCTGAAAAGATGTGTTTTTAGGGATCCTCTAAAAGTGGACAGAGTAAGAGATAATCGGACACATTGGGGAAGAGAGTTCCAGAGGATGGGGGCAGCACTGGAGAAGTCCTGGAGGCGAGCCTGGGAGGAGGTGACAAGGGAGCTAGAGAGCAGGAGGTCTGGGGAGGAATGAAGAGAGCAATTTGGTCAGTATTTTGAGACTAGGCTAGTGACGTAGCTGGGGGCTGAGTTGTGGATAGATTTATAAATTGTTGTAAGTATCTTGATTTTAATTCATTGGGCAAGCAGAAGCCAGTGGGGGATTGGCAGAGAGGGGTAGCAGACACTGAACGGTTTGTAAGGTGGATGACGTGAACGACCAGAATCTTTATAATACTTATACATGTAAGACAGTATAACCCTGTCACATCCAGAAAATTGGAAATTAAGGCTCTTCTAGCCCAAAAACTTGTTGGGAAGTCATTAAAGCGGAACTAAAGGTAACATTTAAGGGAGAGTTATAAACCCTGACTTTTTTTTTAGTCATTTCTGTGTCTCGTTGGAAGATTCCCTTGACTTCCTGTCCCATAGCCAAAACATGAAGTGAAAGGAAGTCCCTCCAAAGTTATTATTTATTATAGGCACTTTTATATAGCGCTGTCAATTTACGCAGCGCTTTACATATATATTGAACATTCACATCAGTCCATAACCCTCAAGGGGTGTACAATCTAAGGTCCCTAACTTATATTCATACATACACATACTAGGGACAATTTAGACAGGATCCAGTTCACCTACCAGCATGTGCTTGGAGTCTTTGGAGTTGTCACCAGGTTAACCAGAACTGGTGTCCTCCTTGGAAGATTTCCCCTCTATTCCTGTTCTAGTGACAATTCAAAATTTGGGATTGTCTTTCGCTTACACCCTCGGTGATAATGGAAAACATGACAATTAGAGAGAGTGAATCTCCCTAACAGGAGCACAGGCAGCAATATGATCCCTTGTTGAATTGTAACTCCAGCCACATTATTTTTTTCTTGGATATATGATGGAAAAATTCTACCACCACCCCACCCCCAAAAAAATGTGGCAGTACATATACTTTAACATTTCTTTTCCTTCTTAGCAGAGTGATCTTCTGCTAGAAATCTAGCACCCTGGAGCCTTCACTCTTTGGAATTCCCAAACATGTGATCACAAGGATTATCCAATCGTGCTGATAAAAGGGTTTCTAAACGCTAAACAGATTTTTCTTATTTCTGTAATGCTGTGTCCCCTTCACTTATTTTAACTTAAAAGAAAACAATTTGGGGGGGGGGAAGATAAATTGCATATCTCCCAATCCCATATGCTTTATGAAGAATATCCAGGTACAAACTATTACGGATATGTACCATACTGGACCAATTAGAAAGCAGCCATGTGGTTTAATAGAGACAAGGATGTGAAAGACTCATCCAAACATAAAGTGTTTATAAATCTTCCAATATACATTTTTAAACAATAACAATATAATAAACATCAACAACAATTTCAGTCACTTAATGAATGAAATAATCCTCCTGCACTCAATAGGATGATTGGTGCCTATTATTAAGCTGCTGTCACTCAACTTAAACTAATAAGTGTAATCAGGAAAAAGAAATTATAAAATTAGTGAAGCGCTTAAATAAAATTAGATAATAAATAAATGAAAATACACATAAACCTGTGGCAGATGTTTAAAATTACTCAGTGATGATAAAACACAGGTCACATTGATAGTACCTCCCAATGGGGGAGGTAAATTAGTGAAAAACAAATATATTAAAAAATGGTGAACTAACACACAGTGAGAAAATAAATGGTATTTGAGTGAATTAACTGAATTTAGAATGTGAACTGCACAAAAAATGGAGTAAACAGTGAATAAAGCAAACCAGTGACTATAAACCACAATTAATGAATAAACTAATCAGCATTCATTAGTGCCATGAACAAATTCAGAGAGTGGCTCTGAGGAAGAGGCAAGTCCTCAAAACGCGTCAGACTATTGGATGTCTACACTCCCTATTGCAGACCGTTACTCAGCGCGGTGTTGACTAAGCTGTTCTTTTATGACATGCCTTGACTTTATTGTCGTTTGTGAGTACAACACCTACTTTATTTCTTACTAAACATTTTTCATGGTAATGCACTAGGCC